CGAGTCGAACACGACCGTCGAGTCGAACACGATCGTCGACTGCGTTTGTCGAGTCGAACACGTTCGTCGCGTCGAACACGTTCGTCGAGTGCCCTGTCGAGTCGAACACGTTCGTCGAACACGTTGAGTCGAACACGATCGTCGAGTCGAACACGTTTGTCGAGTCGAACACGATCGTCGAGCTGAACAAGATCGTCGAGCTGAACACGATCGTCGAGTCGAACACGATCGTCGAGTCGAACACAATCGTCGTGTCGAACACGTTCGTCGAGTCGAACACGATCGTCGAGTCGAACACGATCGTTGAGTCGAACATGATCGTCGAGTCGAACACGAATGTCGAGTCGGACATGATGGTCAGGTCGAACACGATCGTCGAGTCGAACACGATCGTCGAGTCTAACACGATCGTCGAGTCGAACACGACCGTCGAGTCGAACACGATCGTCGACTGCGTTTGTCGAGTCGAACACGTTCGTCGAGTGCCCTGTCGTCGTGTCGAACACGATCGTCGACTCTAGCACGATAGTCGAGTCGAACACGATAGTCGAACACGATCGTCGAGTCTAGCACGATAGTYGAGTCGAACACGATAGTCGAGTCGAACACGATCGTCGAGTCGGACACGATTGTCGAGTCGGACACGATCGTCGAATCAATCACGATAGTCGTGTCGAACACGATAGGCGAGTGCCCTGTCGTTGAGTCGAACACGATCCTTCCCTGTCCTCTAGTGGAACGAGAATGTGCACGGTGCAATGTCTTCGAATCGTTCATGATTGTGTGCAGTGCTATGGACCGTGCATGGGCTTGGATTGCGCTCAAAGATTCTGTGCATTGTGCTGTCGTGCGGCCTGGTTTGTTCCATTGTTGGTGGGAGCGGGGTGAATAGTTTTATGTTGTTGTTGGTTGTTCTATTGCTGCTGTTGACCGTTGCCCTTGTGTCGTGCAGGGCGTCTTCTCTTCACTGTTGCTATGGAGATCTCTAATATGACCCCAGCACTTTGGCGTGCACGCAAGGCACACCCTTTCCCACCTTGCGCATTGTACGTCCGACAATGTCAGGGTAGCGTAACCTATGAAGGCGCTTGTCCAGAAGACTTCGAATGCGACCCTTGGATGAGAATCCTCCCGTTTGGCGACAAACATTTGGACTTGTGGGAGAAGTGCGAGTGGGTGAACATGATGGAGAGATGCCCGTGGGCGTGCGATTATGAGTTCGCGAATATGTCCGAATTCGGCAAACGCATTCCCGTGTCGGTCGATGTGTTGCGTCCCGTGCGCTTGCCGCTACTGTGTAAAAAACTAAAAATAAGCCGTGTTGTGGGGGTTTTGGACTGCGAATACGTGACAACCTCGCCTCGCACCTGGTGCCGTGTTATGAAACAGGAGTTACTCGATTGTGCGTGACATTCTCAGTTCATCGATCATTATCCGTTGCGATCTCCCGGTCTGTCGCCAGGAACAGTTTCGTATTGTTGTGTGAGATTGCGTCAAGCATACTTTATCTTCTGCAGGGTCCTCTGTATTGTCGTTTCAAGCAGGGCAAGAAACTTGACCGATGCTGTCGTGTATGTGTCCAGGAACGAGTTGTCTATGTCAGGGAGGGATATGTGTTTAGTTCAAAGAAGGGTAGATGGGAGACTGGATATCGTGGTGGGTGGCCAGGTGGAGGACGTTGTCGCATGGCGCGAGGTCGAGGCTAAAGTCGTTTCAATTCGGGATGCTATAGGCGCTTCTCTCGTCGGGAACTCCGGGTTCATGTGAATGACATACATTTCGGTGTTTGCTGAGATGGCGCAGCAGCTGACCTTCGGATCGCCAATTAGCTTGATGAATGGCCGCAACAGCGAGATTGTTCCCCGTAGTCGGTAGATAGCCTTCGTCATACTGGATGGCCAAAACGGCATACTGAATGGTCGAAATGGCCGCAACGGCGAGATTGTTTCCCGTAGTCGATAGACAGCCTCGTGGAACTCGCATTGCGATTGTTGTTCTCAATGTGTTATTTCGATAACAATACGCGGTATCTGCTGGTTGTTCTCGATTGCTGTTCTCAATGTGTTATTCGATAACAATACGAGGTATCTGGTAGTTGTTCTTCATGTGTTCAGTGGCCAAAAGTACACACGTTTGACGTTGTTGTCCTCATATTGTTTTCCGATTCATTGAAACCCGGGAATGATGACGTGTTCTTGGTCGGCTTTGGACACCGAAACATCGCTGCCAGCCGAGTGTTTGATTGTTGTTCTCATGTTGTGTTTCCTTTCGGAAAACAAAAACTCATTGTTCTGATGTTTTGCGTGCACAAACATTCAGCAGTCAATGTTTCTTCGTGTTAACCAGTGTCTGCGATCTGCTGTCTTGTGTTCTCGTGATCAAGTGCCCCTTTAGGCACCGTCCGCCGAGCATTGTGTCGAACCCGGCAGATGTCGCACAACACACCCCAATGTCGCTGTCGTGTTCGATACGATGGTCGTCAGATGGTGCCCGAAGGGGCACTTGGTCGACTGTCGAACGGCGGACGACACTGTCGCTGTCGTGTCGAACACGACGGTCAACTCCACTACAGGCACCGTTTGGCGACCATCATGTCGAACACGACATGGACACTGTTATCTGGCGACCAGACGGTGCATGAAGGGCCACTTGGTCGACTGTCGCACGACAGACAACACTGTAGCTGTCGTGTCCGACACGACGGTTGGTCAACCCGCGCAGTGCCGTCGGGTTCGACATGACAGTGACACGACGACACCCCAATATCGCTCTTGTGTCGGATTCGAGACGGTGCCCGAAGGGGCACTTGGTCGAATGTCGAACGGCAGACGAGAGTGTCGCTGTCGTGTCAAACACGACGGTCAACTCCCCTACAGGCACCGTTGGCGACCATCATGTCGAACAGGACATGGACACTGTTATCTGTCGACCAGACGGTGCATGAAGGGCCGCTTGGTCGACTGTCGCACGACAGACAACAATGTAGCTGTCGTGTCCAACATGATGGTTGGTCAGCCCGCGCAGTGCCGCCGGGTTCGACACGACAGTGACACGACGACACCGCAATGTCGCTCTCGTGTCGGATTTGACGGTAAAGGAGGACGTCGTGGCACGGCAGTCGAGTTCGACACGACAGTGAAACGACGACGAGTTGGCGGGCTGCGGCCCGCTTCAGTTGCTCTGTGTTCCTGTCTACTCTTGTTCTCAAGTGCTGTGGTGTTTGCACGTTGGCAAAGCAATGACTGCTTTCTCGCTTGTGCGTTTTCTTCAGTTGCGACTAGCCGCTCGGCGTGGATCGTGAGGGGAAGCCAAGCAAACGACGTACTAGTGCTGGTTCCGGGAGCATTGAGCAGTCTCCGAAAAAACCGAAGGGGACACCGACGGCTGGCGTGGGGGCTGGCGACACACCGGGGTCTAAGGGCCACCGAACCCCGGTGCTGCG